CCAGTACCAGAATCTAAGACAAACGAGACGATTTTAGTTTTGAAATTATAAATTTCGCTCAACTCAATATACCAACATTACCTGCATATGGGATATACATTTCCCAACTCATTAGGTATTCAAGAGTTTTCAGCTGCTACTCAGACTTTATAAAACGTCACTAGTGTCTGATCAGAACGTTGATGAGCCAAGGTTATGTCAAAGAACGTCTCGTCCTTTTTCTTAAAAAGTTCATTGGAAGATACCAAGAGAGGCGAAAGATACTAGAGGGACATTCAAACTCATAAGTCGAAAATAAACTGACAACGCCATGCCTAAAAAAGAAAAAGACCAACAGACAAACAATAGTACACAAAACACAATATAGAACTAAACACTGAGCACAACACGATCCATACCAAAAACTGGGGGGTGATCTCAGGTGCTCCGGAAGGGTAAGAAGATCCTGCACCACATGTGGCACCCGTCGTGTTGCCCATGTTAGTACAAAACCGACATTAGGAACATATCCGCTATCATCTGTGGAACGGAAATATTCCATAAAGGTCAACAAACTCGTGATGACGTCCGTAAAATTTACGAAGGGATGATTTCAACTTCACCACTTGGAACTCTTGGTTTAATAGCTTCCTTGTGAGCAGCAACCCTCTATCAAGGAAATCATGATAGGAAATACAAGCCTTGGAATATCGTATCAACTGGGAGATATATACTCCGTATGAAGGCGCTGCTGGAATCTTTCTACATAGAAATGGTAAGTTCACAATCGGGAAGCTGAAATCATCTCTTTTGTCGTAAAGTTTTGTTTTCAACCGACCCTCTTTGTCAATTTCTAGATGTAAGTCAAGATATGAGGCAGACTTAACTGTATCTGTTGTATCCTTTATCTCAAGTTCGATGGGATAGATGCGTTCAACACTGTCACCAAATTTTGAATTATGTAGTGAGAGAACATCATCTATAATATAGCTGAAAGTAAAGTTAAAGGATACTGCTAACTTCTTTTCTTTCTTCCTAAGTAGTTCCTGTATGAAGTACATATAATTTTCCGTATTAACTTCACAAATAATACATGATGGTCTTGAAATAAAGATTCTAGGTCCTGACGTTGTTTATCATCGTAATTACGTGTTATATGTAATATCTTTTTTATTTTTATTGTTCTTTTTATTTGTCCTTGTACATTTTATGCCTTACTCTTTAGTCCATTTTTGGTAATACACTTTTGATGTGTGTTATTGTGCTTTGGTCAATTTAGTATTCTTGTCTATCATTTTTATGTACTTTGTCTTAAGAGTGTCTATATGCCATTTTGTGTTTCTTTGTTGAAATAGTTATTTGTTTTTATAGTGATTAAGATCATATTACAATGTTGACTGCTGTACCCCAATTTTTGACATGTTTACCTATTATGTCTGTTTATTTTGCTCACACATTGTTGTCGATATAATGGCATTCTATATTACTGTTATACAAGTGAGAGGATTGGCTAGCTTTGAACCCAGGTTTAATCCACCATACTGAAATGCTTGTACCAAGTCAGGAATTTGACAGTTGTTTTTCATTCATTTGATGTGTTTAAGCTTTTAATTTTGCCATTTTATAAAGGACTTTCTGTTTTGAATTTCCCTTGGAATTTGGTTTATTGTTAATTTTCTTTTTAATAACAATAATAACACTTCTATTTTATATGGATATTGGTTTTGTTGCAATATGAACATTGCGTTGAATTGTTTCGTTTTTACTAATCCTTTATTACAGTTTAAGATATAGTAATGATGAAATACAACTCCTTGTTGTGCAAAAGGCTTCATGAAAGACAATAATTAAAAAAAAAGTTTTGTGCTGTTATTTTGAACAATTGAAAGAAAACGATACATATTGAAAAATGAAATCGAATCCCTACAAAAATATCGTTTAATTCAGTTATAGAGAGTGCATAAAAGTACATTAAATATCAAGTACATACACTGTTGACAATTAAATAATTCCTTTTTACATTTATTATCGGTCACTGTTTATGCACGACTACACTGTATTTATTTGTTTTTATGTATTTTTTTAAACGAATCAGGTAACAAATTTGTTGAGAGTTTTCTGCTTTAAGGTTTTTTCCTCGTAGTCAATTGCCCTTACAACAAGGCACATAACGAGTTTGATCCAATATTGATACTTAGATTCTAATTCACCAATAGTATACCTCAGTGATCCAATATTGGTACTTAGATTCTAATTCACCAATAGTATACCTCAGTGATCCAATATTGGTACTTAGATTCTAATTCAGCAATAGTATACCTCAGTGATCCAATATTGGTACTTAGATTCTAATTCACCAATAGTATACATCAGTGATCCAATATTGGTACTTAGATTCTAATTCAGCAATAGTATACCTCAGTGATCCAATATTGGTACTTAGCTTCTAATTTACCAATAGTATACCTCAGTGTTCCAATATTGGTACTTAGATTCTAATTCACCAATAGTATACCTCCGTGATCCAATATTGGTACTTAGATTCTAATTCACCAATAGTATACCTCAGTGATCCAATATTGGTACTTAGATTCTAATTCACCAATAGTATACCTCAGTGATCCAATATTGGTAACTAGATTCTAATTCACCAATAGTATACCTCAGTGATCCAATATTGGTACTTAGATTCTAATTCACCAATAGTATACCTCAGTGATCCAATATTGGTATTTAGATTCTAATTCACCAATAGTATACCTCAGTAAGATTTGTATACGGTCATTTTTCCTTAATGGTAAACCAACACGATACTTCGGTAATAACAGCATATACTGAGTATGATCATAAATGATAAGTATCGTAGACACAAATTTGGTGGTGAATTAAGTTATTATTCTTTACTATAGCTTTTGAACATTGAATTTTAAACTGTCTGTGAAATGTTAACGAGACATACGCCGGAAATTCTACAGAAAAGGGAAGTTACCGTCGGTTAATTGAGGTCATCGAATTTTGTCATCGTGTCATCATGTACATTCATCGTTTACCGTTTATCAATTTGCATCTTTCCAATCAAAGATAAAACTCTGACTGGAGACATTTCAACTCAATCATTAATCACACAAGTCGTGTCTCTTTAGCTTTATAGAAAAAGGGAATATTTCCAAAATATGAAAGCAAAAAACATTCTACAACGTCCTTGTTCTCTTGTTCTGTCGATTTAACTCTGCCAAAAGACAAGTCCTGTAGACTTTATCAACGGTTTCTTAATCTACCTTAGTTTGACAATTACATCTGTATATGCCTGGATCTTATCATGATGATGCTTGGATATGAGATGCTTACCCTGTTGATTTTACTCATCTTACTCTGGTTAGAGAGCAGTTCTGATAGTTTATCTCCTATATTTGATTATTTGTACCTGGTTAATATTAAAGTCATACAAAACGAGTTTCTTTAAAAATAATGGTTGGGAAATTACTGAACCAATATATGTGTATATACTTAACTAAGTCTTCTATGCTCAATTTTTAACATTTACTACGAATCCATAGCATATAATTGACAACAAATATTTCATTCAGTGAAAACGCTTCCTGGTAATTTATTTTTGTGTTTTATTGCCGATGTTTACCAAAAGGTGACCTTGGAGCTCGTGAAAAATAAATGAGATGATAGACATGAAATAGAGCGATTATTACTTTTTTTTTTAGCTATTTTTAATACGTTTCTATTTGGTTATTACACTTTGTCATAACAGTTGTTAAATGATTTGGTGTATCAGAATTTATGTTTCAGAATAAATTAAAACTGTCGAACTCTACGTTTGTTTTCCTTTTCTTTTATCAAGGTTGCGCTGTGCGGTTGCCGAAGTACTAACGAGAGATATCGTACAGTGGAATACATGTCTTTTACATTAAAAAGAATACATTGTCATATTCTAAGCGTAAAATTCAATACATGCTTAACATATTTTTAATCACTTTTGTTGTTGGTTTTATATTATTTTGCAATATCTTGCGACTAGAATTAAAATACAATATGAACTATGCTTTGGCTGGTATGGGGTGTGGTTGGGATTCTATGAAATATAAAAAAATATTTATGTTTTATGTTTTATATTTAACATAACTGTTTTAACGGGCAATGATGGCATATTTGTTTAGTAAAAGCTTATATATTTTTAATTTATGCTCTTCAGAATTCTTTGTTGTTCGTTTTATTGCTACATAATGAAATTTATTAGGAAATTAACAATATTTAATACAGTTTTGTATATGTTATATCAAAGACACATATAAATAACATAAATAAACTGAATATTATAAGATATCTGCTTCATTTTGAAAACTAAAATAAAAACAATAGACAGTGTTCAAACTATATATGTCAAGTAACCAATTGTCCTAATTCTAGAAAAGTTTTTAAAGTATTTGATAAGTACTTTCAAGGATTTGACACCAACACTTAAAACTTTTCAAATATCATTTTGTTCATTATTTGAACGGGTTTGGTATAATTTTAGTCCTTCTCGATTATATCAATTTTTCAATGTTTTTATAAGGTTCTGGTTTTCAATTAAAAGTGGTACCTAATACCTAATATATGATTGCAGTCAACTTCGTTTTCCCAAAGAGTGATGTAAAGTCTGCATAAGGACATAAGAGCATATGAAAATTTCAACAAATCCTTTCAAATCGGTCAATTTTACAAATGTTACATAAAAATATGTGTATAATTCTAGATTTGGCTAAGGGCACTTTCACATCTCATTAACTGTCATTGCAGTTTAACATTTTCCGTAGTTACCTTTGCATATAAACTTTGATGGAAACTATGTTATTGTTTACTGTAGAAATGCAAAAAATGAAAGTAATACATAAAACGTTATTATGGCTTAAAATTCCAACTCTTGTTATTTAGGAAGTGGAAGAAGGCCATAACATTGAGAAGTTCTTATACAAATAACTACCACAATGATAATAGCCCCATATTTATAATGTGTGTTCGTTTTCCAGGGACAAATAGAATAACCTACCAGATATATGCACAAGGGCAGGATTTGTTGATTGACGATACTGAAAAAATGTAAGTAGATATATTTAATGAACATTTTTATATTTCCTTATTTCTAATGTTTCCAAAGAGGGAAACCTCTTAAAGGTAACAACAGATCAAACTTAGGGAACTAGATTGCCTTTCCTCTTTTCGCGAATACCTTTTTCGCTTTTGTCAGCATTTTCTGTAGTGGCAATTTATCACTATATACATTTTCATTTCCTTCAGACCAAGATATTCTCAGATGATTTCTTTGGTTTATGTTTTTTTCCTGTTGACACCCCCTTTTGTATCTTTATACTATTTTTATAATGTCATAATATTGTATTATACAAACCAAATTGATATTTTGGACATTTCAAGTTGACAAAAATGTAAAATTATTTAAGTTATACATATGCTTAGATGTTACTTTGAGTGTTGTAAGTTTTTTGGGTGTTATATCGAGGATATTGCTTTTCAATGTTCGATATATTAGGATTTTTGACGCATCAATGTTTACTATGTTTCACATAGAGAAGATGGGAAATGGTAATAATTGCAGTCTCTAATAATCGCTGTTTAAATTATTCACTCCTTTTTTTAGTCTTAAGGCAATTTAGAGCTTTACATATTGTATCGAAAGCTGCTGAAAGACTAATCAAAGATGCCCGGCTTATGGTTTAATACACAAGACGCGACGCGTTTTGTCCACATAAGAATCATTAGTTGTGCTTGAAGCAAGATAGTTGGAAGACCAAAATACCTGAAGTTGAAGAGCATTGAAAATCCCCAAAAATCCCAAAAGTTGTACCAAATCATCCTACGTAGATGTATATGCTGATGTAGAAAAAACCTTAGTGTATTGACCAACGTTTAATGTTTAATCAATAGTAAAATTACCAGTATCAAACATATCACATGTCAACATAGAAAGCACTGACTACTGGTCTATTGATAGAATCGGGAACACAACGTCCACCGGGCATGGCCATGATCCAATAGATGTAAAAAAAAAGTCCCCATAAATAGCAGGCTTATAATTCGATACAGCAGACGCACGTTTCGACAGCGACGTTCAAATTGCAACAGTATGAAAGTCAAATCAGATGAAGATAAAGTGCATAAAAAATACTAAAAATCCAACTCTGTCTAATGCCATCTATGTCTGGGTAGGAAGACCTTAGTGTTTTGAATGATTTCAACGTTTTATTAACAGTACATTTTCACGAAAAGACTGTAATAATGATATTTTATATTAGCACAGGAGCACTGACTAATGGTCTAGTGATACCCGCGGGAACAAAATGTCATCGAAGATACCAGGCTTTTAATTCAATAAGCCACAAGTGTTGTGGTAGCACTGAGTTTTGAGCTAAAACTATCCTCGGGGATGAAACGTCCACCAATTTAGAACCTTGTGTTGATATATTTTTGTGTGTTTAGTTGTTCAGTTGTTGCCTTATTTACTTCTACACCATATTTCCTTTTAGTCATATGGATTGTTTATACAATATATAAATGAAGAATTTTTACACGAAATTGCTTACTTGTATGGTTCTATAACACATTTGAGCGATGATTATTAAAATGTTTAAAACTGAAGAGTTACTAAAACCAACCTAAAAGCAGTGAAAATACAAAATAAGAAGACAGTTACATAAGCGATACCCACGGGAGCTAAATGTGCACCAACAGTGACATCGACTTGGTCGCAGTAATACGATCAAAAAGGATATCAAAATTAATTTGATGCATCATACATAAAGTGTACATTGCAGCAGTCCTTGTTGTTGATAGAAAAAAGTTTTTTTTAAACATTACATGAAAAGTTGGCCACACAAATGTTATTATGTCTATACCTCTTAATCCTAGATTAGCGCGTTAATAATAATTTAAAAATTCAACTAATTCATTTAGAGCAACGACATAAATGATGCCATACTTGTCTTATTTGGTTTTTACTTCGAATTCATGTAATTGAGGTAAGATAAAGCTGAACATTATTTCTTTATAAGACACCGTAAATATTTTCAAAACCAAGAAAAGCATTTTTCATCCACACTTCATTGAAAGGAACATAGCAACTAAATATTTTGACTTCAATATAATATGAATGAGACTGAACATCTCCTTCCAGACAAGGGAGAAGGAGACGTTATTTCTATTTCACTCAAAAAAAAAATTATGCTCAAAATTTTACATTACTTTTCAACACAAAAAAGTATTATAAATTTCTGTGATCCACTGTGTATCGCTATTTCATTATTTTGCATGATTCTAAGTCTCAATGATAATTAACCAATATAATGCAAAAATACATTATTAGAACACAAAAGATATTTAGTGACAATGTTCTCCCGATTTCATATAATAGGTAAGGTAAAAGTTCAAAAGCTGTCATCAGCTAATAATGTTTTATCAAAAGCATACTACTATTCACTTAAGGTGGATCATCGGTATATATTTTCTCAGATAGAATGTTCTTATACTTGGCAAAAATGTATATTTTACCATGCTTTTTTCAAAAATATATCATAAAGTATGGGTCACAGTGCTATATTTCAAGCTACAAGTCGTGCAAAATTGCCAAAATTTTCTTAGATTATTCATGAAAAAAACACTTTTTTGTGAATAAAAAGAAATCTATTGAATATAATTTTGAAATAAAATATGAGAAGATAGGTTTTATGATACACTTTGAGAATATAAAACGAAAAATGGTGTCCCGAACTTGTTTTCTTGCTGTTCGTAAAAAAAGAAAATTTCTTTTACAGTTTTTGATAAAAAAAAATACTATTTGGGTTATCTCCCCTTAAATGGCAAAGTTGAAAAATGGTTTCGAATGAACAAAACTAGTTGGGTTTTGTTAAAGCAATCTATATATTGCAATAAATCGCTTATTTTTCTTTATTCAAATAAGCAGTCTAACACATTAATTGCCAATATGTCTCAAAAAATTGTAGACTTAAGCAAAGAACTAGACTGATTTCGTACTGCTTTTACACAATCAAAGATGGAGGTATACAGTTAATCTACCTTAATTGAATTATGTTTTTCTTTTCTGTTGGAACATCAGAATCTTTATAAACAAGAAATTCTACTATTACGCAATTGTTGCATACATTTTATGTAAGACATATCGATTCGTCCATTTACAGTTTGGAGAAAGACTCATATCTTTTGTTACTTTTTATTTGTATTTAATTTCTGTACTCAAACTTACATCGGGTTATTGCACATGTGAGCTGTTGTTTTTCTTGATGGTTATATATCGTAAAATTGAGAATTGAAATGGGGAATATGCCAAAGAGACAACAATCCGACCAAAGAGCAAACAACAGCCGAATCGGTTTATTTTCTTTCAGAAATTGTCATTTCATTAAATAAATAATTGATGTTTTTGTGAGTATGTTCATTTGTCCCGTTGAACAAAACATAAAAGAATACCACAGATACAAATATGTCTGCTTCAGACTTTAAATTTAATCTATAAATAGTAAGTTTCGGTTAAGACACACAGGGCCTCGTGTTTCCTTTCAATATTTCGTTAAAAGTGGCTTCTGCCTACATATAAGCTATTGCACCAAAGGTAAATTAAAGATAGTTGAAAATTGTAAGTTGAATTGTACGGCATTTCACAGTAAAAAGGAGGAGGTATGATTGCTATTATGAAAATTGATACAAGATAGGACACAAAAGTGAACTGTTACAGGTCCCTTTGCTGCTTTTAACAACGAATAAAGTACATAATAATAAACTACAAAAGCTATTATAGGTCACTGGATAGCAAAATTTGAGACACTTTAAAAGAAAGATGTACTTTACAACAATAAACGAAAAACAATTTTTCTGCTATGTATGATTCCTCGTTACATAATATCAACGTCAACGTCACGTTCAGTAGTACGTGCCAGAGCCAAGCACATGATAGAATTGATAATGATTTTATATCAAGTATTGAAAATAGGGGATCGATGACAGAGTTGAAAAGAATAAAATACAGAACTTTTTTTATTTAGAAGTACGATTCCACCTGCAGATATTTATCAATTATGGACTTTTGACGAGGTCAATACGTTAAACATGGACTTTTTCAGATTATTAATTTACCGAGGACGAAGTCCGAGGTTCAATATAATATATATATATATATATATAACAAGTCCATATATAACGTATTGACTGAGTCAGGGGCGGATAAATAGTAACAAATCGTCCATATACTTAAATACCCTTTGAATCACGTGATCGTTATAACCAATGAAAAAAGAAGAATGCTACATCATATGTAATATTTAATGAGATGTTTCAATTTACAACCAGCCTTATCCCGTTATACATTATTAATTACGCTTGCGTCATATAAATCTTTCTTTGTGGCTTTTTTTAGATAATAAAGGTTATACTTATACTATTGGTGTTCAATCATTTGTCTGGTATATATTTTTTATTTTGCGTATCCTATCATGATTTCCTTAATAAAGGGTTGTTGCTTACACGAAAGCTATTAAACCAATGATTCCAAGTCGTTAATTTGATGTCATCCCTTACGCCATTACGAGTTGGTTAGTTGTAATGGAATATCTGTTACACATATGACGATGGATATGTTCCAATTGTCGTAACCAGAAACAATGCAACGGGTGTCACGTGTGGATCAGGATCTGCTTACCCTTCGTTGTCGTTTTTCATTTTTTGCCATGGCGTAATCAGTTTGTCTTTGAATTATGATTAGCAGCAACACTCAAGTGTTTCCTTTTTTTCTTCTGAATTTGTAAAAGAATGTAATATGGGATTTGCACAAGATCGTGTATATCTGTAATGTATATGACATTTGTATAAGATTTACCCTGAAGTACGTACACTTATATGAGAAGTAGGGTGGCATGATTTTATATGTGCTGGTGGCCTTCGGCTGTTGTCTGCTCTTTGGTCGGGTTGTTGTCTCTTTGACATATTCCCCATTTCCATTCTCAATTTTATGGTTAAATGATATTGTTTCCAATGGCTGTGAGCATTTTTAATATCGTTGTTCCTGTGTTCTAATGCTATTTAGAATGTAATGTGAAAACAACTGAGGTTAATGGCATTAACTCCAATAGGAGCGAGAAAAGTGGAAAAGGTAAGCGTCTCTAGCAATGCATGCATTACCTGATATGCTAATCTAGACGCAGCAATATGTCACAATATGGAGCAAAACACAATCAGTACAATAACATTTCAGATGACTATACTGATATCTTAAGATCTAAGATATCGGTAAACTACATCTTTCGCGAATTCAGACATAGATACGTCGTATCGATAAACCAAATGTGTGACATTCTACTTGTAACTTGTGTATTGTCGATACCAGTTATTCCTCCTCATGACCCTGCTGGATCAGATTTTGCGTTTTGAGAACACCCCTGTTTATATCTATCATAGTGTGAACATGCATGCAGAAATGCACCAGTAAAGATGTTTTAACGCCGTATGATGGAACAAAGGGCATGTAACTATTGAAAAGGGATGCTAACAATGGGAAAAAGAAATCGTCAAGCTATGCATTTTATTTGCCTTTCAAACCTTATTTGTGGATGTAGTTTTTTTTCGAATCTGATGCATTTAAAGCTGGACACTCTGTACACACACGTTTATTGTTAAATCTTGATATTATACCTCGTTTATACAAATATAATCATTTCAACGAAATCTTTATTTTCACACATACATAAGTATACAACGTTGATAAGTTTGACTTCTGAAACTAAAAAATCTGTCCATTTTCCCTTTGAAGATGAATCAATATATATTTCCAAATTTAATTTTGCCTAACATAATTGCATTTTAACTGTCATTTTTCCTTTTATAAAGTACTTATTTACGATTTATGAATATGTTGATCTATAATGGTTTACTTTTGTGAATTGTGACTTGGATGGGGAGTTGTGTCGTTGGTACTCATGCCACATCTTCCTATATCTAATATCTAATAGTGTTTGTCATTTTACAGTTGTTGTGTAAATACACATGAATGAAAGGACATTATTTCACTAGATATAAACAATACCTAGCGGTTCCCATATAGTCTTTAATGATATAAATGGCAGCATCGTAAACTAAGCTGCACATCGCGGCGAGTATTGAAGGAAATGGGTAACGCGATAACCAGACGAATAAAAAATGGATACTTTATCTGAATAGATCAAAGCTGCTCGGTCTTGAATTCAAAATCTACAATGTGCAATGAGCACAATTATTTCTAAACCTTTCCAGAAGTCCGAGGTTGTTGATGCATTATCCTAAAACGATATTGTTTTATAGTAAAAAAAAAATCAATATTTATAACGCCTTACTAAAGAACTTGGAATTCACAGCAAAACTGGGAATTCCATATTTACCCCTACATCATTGATTTCGTAAAATCCTTACAAAGAATGATGTATAGCAGAGTGGTCAAAATATTCGACTCAACATCTTTCCAAAGTTCTTACTACAATTATATCTACACAAAAATAAGGCATTTAGAAACATTGTCATACATGGGTATATTCCATCAGCGGTGTCGATTAGATGTAGATTCTAAAAATAATTAAAGATCTACCGGTACTCTAAAACCTTCAATCACATTCTTTTCAATATTACAGTAATATCAAAACTGAATGATGCGACTTCTTCTGTCTATTTGTATTACCTTGATTTGTATCTTCTTAATCGATTTATGAGATTTGAACATTGGTCATCAACTAATTTTATGAATGAATTTACAAGAGACGAAAAAATGTTTTACACTAAGACCACATCTTGAATTAAAAAAAAACCAAACCAGATATGTATTAAAGTTTATACTTTAATTTTTCTTATTATTACATAATCCTTGTCCTTCATATTAGCTTCTTTAATAGAAGAACAAAGGACTGCATATTGGACAGGTAAATGTCATCATAAAGAACATATGAATCCTTAATGTAAAAACCAAAATAAATACAAAACTACACTCTTAGTAAATGATAATGCAAGTTGTGTTCCTATTCGTGAAGTGATTGTGAATGAGAAGTGGGTTGCAAGTATTTGTGTACAAAGCAAAAAATTCCCAAACCATTTTAACAAGATGTGAACGGCATTATCCAGTATTGATTTCCTTGTACCTGTATTAATCCAGCATTGTTTTCCTTGCACCTATGTTTTTTATGATATAGACGGCACTGCCCAGTATTATTTTTTCCTTTACCTGTGTTTTTGATGACGTAGACGACATAATCCAATATTGTTTTCCTTGTACCTGTGTTTTTATGATATAGACGGCAATATCCAGTATTATTTTCCGAGTAACTTTGTTTTTCATGACGTAGACGACATAATCTAGTATTGTTGTCCTTTACCTGTGTTTTTCATGACGTAGACGACATAATCTAGTATTGTTGTCTTTTACCTGTGTTTTTCATGACGTAGACGACATAATCTAGTATTGTTGTTCTTTACTTGTGTTTTTCGTGACGTAGACGACATAATCTAGTATTGTTGTCCTTTACCTGTGTTTTTCATGACGTAGACGACATAATCTAGTGTTGTTGGCCTTTACCTGTGAGTATGATGTATGTTGTACCGTTATTATACATTTAATTGCTCTACTAATTTGCGACTTTCATATCAAAATTGATGACGCCAACTCTTCAACTACAGTACTGTTGTTCCTATTTTAATGCATTTCAAAAAATAAATAGTACATTAATATAAAAATGTAAAAATTTGAAATGAAAAAAAAATATAAATAAAATAGAATAAAATTTCGCAAAACTTCACGAATGATTTTAGCGCATAAACATCATGGCAAAACATGACGTCATACAAACAAAAAAGTTCAAAGCAAAGGTTATTTCGATACTTGTACGATTCATATTTAGATAAAATCTAATTCACACGACGTTTTCGAGGAGATATGTTTTATTTTCGATTATATTGTATTATATTAACATTTGTGGATTCCAGCAATCAAAAATGGTGACCACTGCATGTCAATTGACCTTAAAGTGTTTAGTTTCTTGTATCGTTTGGTTGCTGTTTTAGTGACTTGCAAACATTATCTCCTTAGATCTGCCAGCCACTTCAAATTTAAGGTTAAAGCATCAAATTGTAACAAAGTGTAACAAAATTGAAAGGGGTGTTTAAGAAACCACTGGATTTTTACAATAGATGGACATATTATATTAAAATTGGACGAGAAAAACTACTATTGTTCACCAATCACTTTTGACTTCCTACTGTCTCTCTGTGAAATAAAAAAGTTTGTGCGGTTATGCAGTTGTAAACTTGGATTATACTGGCTGCCAGCACATCTGCTAAATAACCATGTTCGGCATACACAACCCAATGAAATTGCTCTAAAAATGTAAAACGTCTTACAAAACATAGCCAGCCAACATT